ATTACCAAGTGTTTTCCTTAACATTTCAGCAAAATAGTGCAAGGTTGTTTTAAAGTATTAATTTAAGTAATATACCATTTTCAGGGTGATATCTACTCACATTGAAAATGTTTACCCAGTAAACTCCCCACAGATTTGACTGAAGGTAATTTCATCTCAGACCAGCACATTTTTTAGACTGTCTCTGATAGTGTCTGCAGAAACGTTTTTGAAGTTTGTACACATAGCGTTCTGTGTTGTGTTAGAACCAAGAGCAGCCTAAAGAAAATATCTGTGAAAACCTTGTATTTACTCTGAATATTATGTAGAAAAGGTATTTAAATATATTTATCCTTTCAAGGTTAAAAAAACAACAACAACATTAAAATACCTGCATAGAGACTATAAAAATATATAACTATGCTTGAAATCACAGAATTTCATCATGAAGTCTGTGATGAATAAATTCTTTATGTACTGTAATCAGTGTTCATGTTCAAGCTGGAGAGATTATACCTCTCGACTGGTCTGGGAACACCTTGGTGTCCCCCTGGACAAGACAGAGGACGTGGCTGAGGAGAGGAAGGGTTGGGCGTCTCTGTTTAGGCTGCTGCCCCAGCGACCCGGACCCGGATAAGTAGAAGAAGATGGATGGATGGATGGATGGATAAAAATTGTTGGAAGCAAATTTGATTGTGTTACACTGCATATCCTTGCATGATGAGAGAATATCATGCGTTTTTATGCTAAAACTTGTTGACCAAACTTGACCCTTCCCTCTTTAACGTTATACGACACCTGTAAAATCGACAGTTTTCCTTGTCTGTTGATTAAAAAGGTGAACAAACCACTGTTTGGCTTAACATATTGATCCTCCATCACATCAGCGTTCTGAATGCTTTTATTGTGAAAGATTGCTGATTATTAGTGGTGCTGGCAACGCCGCCTGTTGGCCGATTGTGCTTCCTGTGATGTTCAGTTAGTTACCTGGAGTTTCAGCGAGACTACCTACTGATCATGTTTACTTCTCTGTTAATTAAAATTCTCTTCAAAGTTTCTCATTCTTTTATTTCCATGCTGAATGGAAGAGGACACATTTAATTACAGACTGAGCAGCTTTTTTCAACTTTGATTCAAAATAATGGTTTTCAGTGTCCAGCCAGTTTAGGTTTAGGTCAGACATAACTTTTTGCATCTATTTAAATTTGAATTTGCACCACTTTAGTAACAATTAAAAAAAATCTCTCTCACACTACAGTTTATGATGAAAGACTGCTGAGAACATTTTCTCTAATCAACCTCAACTACACTTTGTTCATTACACAACAGAGGGACATAATCTGAATAAAGATTAATGAGTTATGTTACAAAATACTTTGAGCTTGAAGTCACAGTTTTCAGTGTCACAAAGGTGGCTCTCCTATTACATGGTTATATGGCCATGGTGACTCGTCAAATTCCATACATGATCAATAATTATATCATTTTTTAATATTATTTATTAATTTGTTTATTTTAATTTATATTCAGTAATCTTTGAGAGCCAGAAAGATTACATACTAAAAGAATATGAATTTTATAAGTTATTAAGCTGTACCTTACTAACACTATCGACCGAAGCCCAGCTGTACAGCAGCACAACCTGTATGTGTCACATTCAGTTGGTGATGCAGAAATGTAAAATCATTTTTATGTTTGATTCTAATATTACTAAATCTCTTTTATAAATAACAAGGATTAAATGATGTGACAGAGCTTGAAGCAGAAGCTCTGAGTTAGCAGAGAAAGTTGATAACCATAATCAACCACACATTATCTGTGACAAGAACAGCAACAACAACCTCCATCTAAGCTGTGCAAGACAACATGAGCAGCTGAAATGCAGGTGCCTCTATGTGACACCACAGGAAATGAGGAGAAAACACAAGCAAAGAAAAGCACAGAGGAAAAAACAGACCAAAGGTGACAGAGGAAGCAGAAAGGCACATATGAAATAACCAAAAAACTGTAGTCTGTAAAGTGAAGAAGTAGTATGTAAGTTTCCAACCACTGTGACACTTCGGGCTGTGAACACATTAAGCTGATCTAACTCATATAACCTTTGAAAGCCTGAACCTAACATGTGAAGACCTCTATTCACTGAAATCAATACAGCAGTAATCAGTACAGACAAACAAAGACTAAAATATGAATTTAAAAATATATTAATTCCGACTTCAGTTTTTTTCACCAAACAGGATTTCTCCATATGTGAGCAAAGCACAGTAGTATGGTTTTAGCATTAGATGATTTGGAAAGACTGTAGTCACATGTCTCGTCCTCTTTATTTCTGATACTGTCATAGGGCCTGGAAGGGACTCTGGCTCATCTCTAAAAGAGACAGAAAACCATTCACACTCAGATTCCCCCCAATTCAATTTAGAAATATCAGTTAACTTCTCCCCACTAACTGCATGTCTTTGGACTGTGGGAGGAAGCTGGAGTACCCGTGTAGCAGCCACGCAAACATGGGGACAACATGCAAATTCAGCACAATTTGTTCCTGTGAGGCGACAGTGCTAATGACTACACTCTGCTCCCTGTATGTGCTGTGTGAGCTGTATTTATTTATTTTCATTCTCATTCTTTTTTATTCTTACTCTATTTCTATGCAAGTACAATACTGTTGTGATTATTCTTAGTTTATCTTATTTCTGTATATATGTATATTTGATTTTTTTTCCTCTTTTTTTTTTACAGTTTTCCCTTTTGAGGATGATATTTTGTCCCACTGTATACTTGATGGGTTGACAATAAAACACTAGGGTTAGGTCTCATTCCAAAATGAATTAAATTAAATTTTCACCTCAAAATTCTCCACACAACACCCCATAATGACAAAATGAAAAAAAAAAATTCTTGAATTTTTTGCTAATTTATTAAAAATAAAATACAGAAATATAACATGTATGAGGAGTAGTAAGTAGAAAGTAAGTAGTAGTAGTAAAGACTGGTGTTCAAAGTGGCAGAAGAAAATGAATTTGCTGCATAATCTATCATATACATTCATAACAATAAAGACAGAGATTGGTGCAAAAGTACAATAACAATAAACACAAAAATATAGGTAAAAGTACTATTCACTTTGAGAGGTGCAAACACACTGTGTTGTTTTATGAGAACAGACAGGTAGACTTTTATCATTTGGATGTACTTTATTCATCAAAGGAGATGTAGCTGTTGCCATGATGACATTGTATATAATTTGTATTATTTCTTTATCTTGTCAAGATCCATGTCATGATTGTAAATTGTTTAAGCTGTACATTACTTTGTTTGTTTTTTGTAGTCAACGTTTTGGTGCTTTTATTTTTAAAGTCAAGTTCGCTTACAAGTTGCACTAGTTTCCTCTTTGGGTAAAAAGAAGAAAAACACCTGTAAGCGCGCAGAAAGGATGGTTTTTATTGAAAGACATGTTAAGTGGACTTTAACTACACACGGTTAAACGGTTAAAGAAACCTCAGAAGAACGGCGGCTAATTCCCTTTTTGCAGCATGCAGCCAACGAGGTATTTATTTATTTATCGTGTTTGTTGTACAGTGTTTTTACTGCTGTGTCTTACGCTGAGTTTTATTTTGTTAATGTTGTATAGTTTTCACGGTGGCTTTGGAGAGAAGTCTTCAAATAAACCAGTGACAGAAAACCACTTGCGTCTGCCTGTGCTTCGAGGGAATTATAGGAGATGTAACATAGAATATAGCATAGAATAACTAAATGCATTAACAATACAATGATACAATGTTTTTTATGACCAAATTCATTCAAATCAATTCAATTTTAATTGAAAATTTTTGGTGCTAAATAAAAAAACAACAGCTGATTCAAGGAGTTTTGCGAGAGTTGTCATTTTGTATGTTACAGTTAGTCAAATATCCTACTGTTAGTCTCACAGCTACAGTGAGTAAACAAAAACCAGTCCACCAGATGTATTATGCTATGACATGGCCCTTTTATATGTTTTCATTAATGAAGCATGCCAATATGAGTATAAAAAGGAATAATTTCATAATCAGTTTTATTAATTCATTGGATTAAAATTTGTTGTCTGCAATGTTTTCTTTGATATTCTGGTTCCAAAAATCATGAATGTTCTAAATTTAAGAAAGCAAAGCAAGAAAAACCTTTAGTGTCTGGATAAAATAAGAACTGCGATCACAATCACACAGAGAGCCAGCAGCATGCCGAGCACAATGACAGCCGGGTCCCGCTTTTGTCCTAAAATCAGAAAACAAAATACACTAAATTCTTTCATTCTCATTTATAATTTGTAAACAGAAAATATTATCAAATGTCATAAAAGAAACACTGAATAGTTTTTACCATAAGTGGATTTCACTTACTAATAACATTTTAAGTCAGTCTCTGTGAGCCATGAAATGCTGATAAATGTGGAAAGCATTAAGAAATTAATTCTGGGCTTTTTATTAGGTTTAGAAGTTTAAGAGTTGTATGCCATTTAAGTCCACAAGTCCACAGGTGACAGTAGCAAATCAAATATTACTTTTACATTAATGCATAATATAAGAATTACAGATATTTTTTAAAGTCCTATCAGATTGATTCCCTGAAGCATAAAAACAGTTTCAATGAAGTGAATTAACATGTAGGAAAAAAATCAGCAAAAGATTTTAGAAAATTAGAAGTGTGACCATTTAAGATCTCTATATAATTAAACAAAGTAATTTTAAAAAATATACATACCTATCTCAACCACAGTTCCTTCACCAAACAGGATCTGTCCACATGTCGCCACGGCACAGTAGTACGTCCCAGCATCAGATGAGTTTGTTACAGTTTTGGACAGACTGTAGTCACATCTCCCGTCCTCTTTATTTCTGAGACTGCCGTGGTAAATGCTGCCTGGGTGGGATTCTGATGCAACTTTAAACCAGTGCACTTTGTCTTCATCTGGACACTGATCTGTGTCATCTTTGTTCTCAGAGAGGAGCGAACACTGCAGAGTCATTGTATCACCCAGATGTATTGACTCCACGTCTGAAGTTTGTTTCACGGTGAAAGATTTCTGCAGCGTTTTTGTATCTGTGTGAATCATAAAAAGTCATGAAATAGCATTAACTGTAATTATTTGGGTTTAGAAGCAGATATGACAAAAACAGTCAAATTAAAATACGTTACCATCCACGACCAAAAGCGTGCTATTAAAAAATTCCATTTTGTATGCCGTTCCTGCTTGGCATAAGTAAGTTGCTTCATCTTCTTTGGTTGCATTTGTTATGGTAAGAGAATAGATATCACCCACTTTTGTGGCATTGAATCTTGAGTTGTTAAATGGTCCCTTTAGTGATATTTTGTCAAAACTTCCTGAGGCAATTGTTTCAATCATGTTTCCAAATTTCAGCTTATACCAGTAAGACAACCCAGCATAATCCCTAGGGATTTTACATGTCAGAGTCACATTATCTCCAAGTTTAGTCACAGTTACAGAGCTCTGGAAAGGACCCTCATCCCCTTCGGTCACAGCTAAAAAAAAACCAAAACAAAACACGGTATCAGTTAGATTCGAATATGACAGGACAAAGCACCTTAAATTTACCAAATATTACTCAACCCTATATCACAGTGTCACATGTTTCAGTGCAGAAGTAAACTTACACAATGTACTTATAAGAATCAAAGAAAGCAGCCTTCTGATCATTGTGGTACCTCAGCCTTCTCTTGCACAACTGATGTCTTCCAACTCAAAGGAAGACTTGGTCACAAGATAATCAGGGGGTACGAAGTGGAAATTACAGTCATTGGCTGAAACACAGAAAATCCACTTCCTGTAAAATTTTACAAACCATTTTAGTGAAACTTAGCTGTACAGTTTGTTTTCACTGATTATTCTCCAGCATAATCTGTATTTTAAAACCTAAATTGTACATAGACATAGGTTAAAAATATATATACATTGAGATTAATGTTTTATCATTGAAGCAAAGCAATAGCTACTAATTCCTACAGTTATAGATTTGGCATTGAGGATTGTAATTACTCCAAGAATTGTAACGCAATGCATGATTTCATGATAGTCTATTCTCCACTAAATCTCTTGATTTCTTCCTCTCGTAAAAATTGCAAAAGTGATCTGAATACTTTGATTTTGGTAGTGATAAAGAAAAACCTTGTATTCTTAGTCTGTTTTTAAAGACCATCTTCTCATCTAGACCACCATCAAATTCAGTATTTGAAAATGACAGTTTTATCAATTCTTTGATCAGAGGTTTTAAAGGCTGAAATCAATCCGAGACCCTCAAAACATCAATGACAAACAACTGACAATGTTTTGTTTTTTTCATCTAACATTACATTGCAGACAGGTACGTGCATTAGAAGAAGCCTTAGCTTATTGAGCAATTCTCAATAAGAGCCCGCCACACAAGTGGTGTCCTCTTTTAAACTCATCAACCACAACATTAACGCCACTGACACTGAAACCAGGCCACATACATACCAGCCAACTACAAACTGCTATAGCCCAAGCAAACCCCTCATGGCAAAGGCAGTCAACAATTGCAGCAGCCTCACCTAGAAGATGCACTAGCCCCAGTTTATTTAGCACTACCACAAACACTGCTCAACAACATTTTGCCCAGCATTCAAACTCAAGCATTCACAGAATGCACTGGAAAAAGCCTGATCCACAAATAACCCATTCTGGATCCGAGACAAGTAGCTGCTCCAAGGGGGGGGGGGGGGGGGGTGTTAAAATATTGAGTTCATGAGTAAAGGGATAATGGAGCAGGAGATTGAGGTATAAACCAGGGCCACATATTCAGCGATGCAGAAACTATATTAGTCTGTTGTGGTGAGGACAAAGCTCAGTGTGAAAGCGAAGCTGTAAATTTACTGGTCAGTCTATGTTGCTGCCCTCGTATGTTCACAAGCTCCAAATGAATGAGATTGTAGATAGGGTCAGGACCAAACCATTTAGGAGGGGCTTCGAGTAGAGCTGCCAATGTTCTACATCAAAAAGAGCCTATTGAGGTAGTTCAGGCATCTGACTTCACTCCCTGTTTAACACCTCCTGGGTGAGATGTTTCAGGGATTTCCTACTGGGAGGACACCGTGGGCAAGATTCGGGAGATTTTTCTCTTTCAATTGGTTTAGGAATGCATCTGTGTCCTCCTGATGAGCTGGAGGACTTGGCTGAGGAGAGGGAGGACTGCTTGTCTCTATTTAGACTGCTTCTATGCAATCCAAACCTGGATAAGTGGCATAAAAAACTTAGTTACACTTATTTACAAGCCAAACCAGTAATTACCTTTTAGAAATAGGGAGTAGCACATGGTAGGGAGGAAAATCACTTGCACCTGGGTGTCACTGGCTTATTGTTGCATATGTTTGTTTGGGTTTTTTATTGCTCAATCAAGAATCTACAAAAATTCAAAAAAGTCTCAAATTCCGACAGCGGCACATACATGAACTGTTTATGTGTGGAAACATAGTGCTTAACGTAGTGCTTAACAGGTCAGGAGCAAGGTTATGAAGGACCATGAAGGTGAGCAGAAGACGTTTTGTATATTATCTGGAATTTCACAGGGAACCAGTGAAGTTCCTGAGGAACAGAGGTGATTCGGTAATAATGTAAGCAACAGAGTTTTGAACAAGTTTAAGCTTATGGAGGGATTTTGGGGGGAAAACCATGCAAGAGAAAATTACAACAGTCAATGCAGTAGGTAACGGGACTATGAACAAGAATGGACGTAGACTGAGGGGAAAGAGAAGGACGTAATTGGGGGAGAAAAGGACGTAATCGGGAGGGGGGGGGGGCGCAGAATAGCACGGGAAGGAGCGCAATCACACAAAAACCACACAGTCGCTAAAAGGTCCGCAAAATCCTCTTAGCCTTTACGTTGCTACCAGCCTGTTGCTCGAGCCGCCGTACCGCGACGCTCGCACCGGGGGGGCTGGCGCGTCAGACATGGCCGTTTTGATCCCATGGCTATCCAGCCGTAACGCTCCTCACCTGCGGCACCCAGAACCTGAAAGACAAGACAGGAAGAAGAAAAAAAACAGCATTCCCCCGCAGGGTGGGTGGATGTCAGAAATGTTAGCCCATTAATTCCCTGCAGTTCTTTTTTAATTGAACACTAATTTGTTCAGCACTTTCTTGTCTTTTATACAAAGTACCAGCACAATTAGACCTACTACACAAAAACTGCTGCTACAATTAAAATGGATAGCTATAAGTGCTGATAGATGATAGATAAAGGTGACAGCTCTTATTTGCTACTTGTTTAAAAGAATCATAAATTAGTTGAAATGATTTTCAGTTGAACTGAGAAGAAGAGCAGGAACATCTGGCCCAGCAAGGTGACAAATGCTCTGTTGCCACCTGCTGGTAAGTTTTTCATTCTTTTAATGTTATTCCACAGTGATTCTTGAAGAAAACAATTACAAAATATATTGCCTAAATGAAAAATTTTACTTACTTTCATGTAAGTCTCTCTGCTTTGTAAAAATATTAGATTATGAAAATAAAAAAATATGCATTTGTTAATCTGTCAGTTAAACCAGTAAATTATTAATAAATAAAGACCACCGCTGCTTCTGTTTCTTGTTTTTTGTTTTCTTTCTATGCAGAATCTAAATGCATTTTTACACTACATTAAAAAAAGTAATTATAAAGATGACCTAACACTCTGCAATTACATTGTGTTTGTCATTGTACAATTGTCCTGTATTCGTAAATGCCACCATACCATATGTAAAGCGCTTTGGGGTCCTTAGGGACTAGTAAAGCGCTATATAAATACAGGCCATTTGAGTTGATTACTGCTTTGCACACGCTTGGCATTCTCTCGATGTGCTTCATAAGGCAGTCACCTGAAATGGTTTCCCAACAGTCTTGAAGGAGTTGCCAGAGATGCTGAGCACTTGATGGTCCTTTTGCCTTCACTCTGCTGTCCATCTCTGTGTGTGTGACATCAAACTACACTAATATCCAACAGTTGATTCTGTCTGTTCAAGAGACATAGGAACTTTTCAGTGTTCACTGTACTCTAATTCTCACAAGACAAAATAGAAAAGAATAGAATAGAATAGAATAGAATAGAATAGAATAGAATAGAGCAGTATAGCCATTTATTGTCATTGTACATGTACAACGAAATTGTGGGTGCTCCATACCAGCTGTCCCAGAATAAAATCTAAATAGTAGACAACAGGAATAAACAGCAAACAGGAGAAATATATACAATCAAGAGGAATATATGCAAAATACCATTAAAACACAAAGGCACACATTAGATCAGTTACAAAGTTACAAGTTAAAAAGTGCTTGGAAGTAGTGCAAAGAAAAGATACAGTCTGAACAGAGTCAGTTTGGTTTGCTATGTAATTTTCAAATGTAATTTGCGCCACAAATTACACATAAGTTCTGGTTTTGAAGAAAATAAATCATGCTGTGCTGTTCAACACTACTGAAGAACAAAATGTTATGGTCCCTCAACTTAACATTTCCCTGAACTGCAGAACTTGTGGTGTTTTAGGCAGTTTTTGCAGTAGATATTAAACCATACATAGAGAGTCAAAAAAAAGGAAGTGAACAAACATTGTAACAGGAAATGAAAAAAGATCATTTGTTTTAGAAAAAGATCAAGATGATATTGGTGTCACAGGAAGTTTATTTTAAGTGTTTTCTGTGTTAACCAATCAGACGCATTTTATGGTCTGACCCAGTGTGCTCATTTCCCTTTCTTAACTTACTGAAAAAGCCCAAGGTGCATTCTCAAGATGGTCGTCTTATGGATTACATTGCTTTTTCTTCATCGAGGAAGTAAGGGGGGATTTGTTTCTGTTTGTTTTTGTTTTATCTGACCATCTGACCAAACTGAACGTATTATTTATGTGGAATAGATTCATATATAGATAGACATAGAGATAATAAGAGAGATAATAACATAAAAACTGAACGTTTTCTTTTACCGCAGATTCTCTGGTTCCAGTGAAACCAGTCCATGTTGGTGAAACAGCAACATTAACATGTGTTTTACCAAATGAAGAGCTCGGCAGCAGAAAGGTTCAGTGGTACAAGCAGAGAGTCGGGGATACTCTTAAATTATTAGTGTCACTTTCTGGAAAACCTTCTTCAGAGTTTTTTCAGTCAAGATTTTCTGCACATAACAGTAAAGATTTTAGCAACCTGACCATTTGGAATGTAGCCCAAGAGGATGAGGGAATGTATCACTGTGGAATAGACACCTGGATTAAACTTGAATGGAGTGGGACATATTTGTTAGTAAAAGGTAATGAACTGACCAACTTTTACAAAATGTTTAAATGCCTCTGAGAATGTGGTGAATAATTTACTTGTATTACATTTTGTATTACACAGGAGACACTGAAAGGACATCGAACTATATTGTTGTACAGCAGCCGACAGAATCAAATCCACTGCGTCCAGGAGACACAGCAACTCTTCAGTGTTCAGTTCTGACAAATTCTGAGAACAACACATGTTCAGGACATCATAATGTTTTCTGGTTCAGAGATGGATCTAATAAATCTCTTCCAAACATCATCTACACTCATGGAAACAGAACTGATCAATGTGAGAAAAGATCTGACCCTCAGGATGGGTGTGTTTATCGCTTCTCTAAGAACGTCAGCTCCTCTGATGCTGGGACTTACTACTGTGCTGTGGCCACATGTGGGGAGATATTATTTGGAAATGGAACTACACTGGATGTTCAAGGTATCTGTGCCTGGTTTTTAAATCAAGACATATAATATACATAAATCAGATAATATTTATCAGAATCAGAATCAGAAAGGGTTTTATTGCCAAATGTTGAGCAGGTTTACAACATTAGGAAATTGCTGCGGTGCTTCAGTGCAAACATACTGTCATAAATTACGCTTAAATAGACATGAAAACAAAAATAAGAATAAGAATTAAAAGTGCTAAGTAGATAGACATATACATGTTACATATACATTTATATTTAAGTACCAGTAATTAATACACGTTTTTATTTCATAACTACTGTAATCTTACCATTAGGCAACTCTAATTTTGTTTTCTCACTTTTACTATTGTTGCAGAAAGCAGTGCATCATCACAGACAGCCAGTACAGTTGTTTTTGTGCTTTGTGCTGTCATGGGTATAAATCTCATTGTTACTGCTGTCCTCATTTACTTAACCAAAAAAACCAACAACAGTGATCACAAAGGTAATTGAAGTTACTCACAGTTCACTATAAACAAAATAAAAGATTCTTAATTTGATATTAACTTGTTGTCTTTCTGTACTATGATCAAGCTCCTGTCCTGCAGAAAAACCTTAGTGATCAGAAAAGACAACAGGTGAAGTATTAAATGCTACGATTACTCTCACAAATATGAAAATTAAAAATAAATATTAAAGGTTAATAAGCATTTTTACATTTTTGAATATTTTCCATTTACATTTGCCAGATTAAGGACACACAGATGTTTTCTGCTGTTGTCTTTGCCGTGATGGAAGCTGATATTTGCAACAAAAAGGATGCAAAGGCAGCAGAGAAGCAGCAGATCTACACAGCCATCAAAGCTTTTGGGCTGGATTAGATCTACTTACTCTTGCTTGGTATGAAACAATCTACAGTAGAGGATTTTTTTCATCTTATAGATAATACGCTTTTATGTGTTGAAATGATGCTCTAGTTCTTTACATATACACTTGCATACACATCCAAGCTGCAAGATTCCTACTGTAGTCTGGTCATGACTGTCGATTGCTTTTTTTTCTGTTTTATTTACAATCTTATGTGCTGTCTTTAATAAAGCCCAAGTTATCAAAGTAATTATGTTTAAAATGGACATTACTGCACCAGGGGTGTGATTACATGGGTGCCCACATAATTCCCCTACTTTCTTTCCTGTCATGCTAACAACCCATTCCTTTTTAATTAACATTTCTGTAAATTACTGCAAGGTTGTTGTAAAGTATTAATGTAAATATTATTTTCAGGGTGATATTCATGTACCAGGAAAAGGTAGCCAGTAGCCTACACAATTTCCTTAGGGATTAATAAAGTATTCTGATTCAAATTTGATTCAAGGGTCACTTAATTCCAGAGCAGCACATTTTTTGGAACCTTTTCTGCTCGACCATCTCTGATTTGCATAAAAAATGTTCATCTTTTGGCACATAACAATTGCTGTGAAATTTCTGAAATCAAACAACTGTGTAAACATAGTTAAAAAAAATCAAGAGCAACCTGATTAAATATGTTAAACACGTCAGAATTTGAATATGTAGAAAAAGTATTTTGAGATTGAAACACATTTAGTCTTCCACTGTTTCCACTGAAAAAAACATTAAAATACCTGCATAGAGACTGTAATAATAAACTATTAATGAATGGTAAAGTTTTTATCATGGTGTTTGTGTGAAAGACCGTCTTTTTGTACTGTAATCAGTGTTTATGTTGAAATAAAAAATTACTGCAAGAAAATCTGTGTTCCACTGCGTATCCTTGATCAATAAGACATAAGATTTTCCTTCCTCTTTGTATGCTAAAACCTGTTAACCAAACTTGAATATTCTCTTTTTAACGCCATAACACTGCTATCATTTTTAACAGCTTTTCTTTTTTTTCTTTTTTTTTATTAAAAGGTTACAAAGCCCTGCTTGGCTTAACATATTGGTCCTTCATCCCGTCAGTGTTCTGGAAGATTTTATTGTTAAAAATTGTTGCTCATTGTCTTTTGGTGTCTTTTGGCCAGTTGTGCTTCAGATGGATGTTCAGTTAGTTACCTGTTGTTGTTAAAATTGGGGCGGCAGGGGGAAGGAGGGGGATGCAACACAGTCTCCCTGTAGTGATCACCCAGCAGGGCAAGGATTCGTAGCACTGCATAGTTTGTCTAATCTATTATAAATAATAACATAACTGTCTGCTCCTGTATTTTATTGCATGTTGTAATAATTGTATATATAGCATTCAAAAGTTTTCATAGGTTATCACTTGTTCCACATGTGTCATGTTATAGCCTTATTTCAATGCATTAAACACATTTTTACTTCATATGCTATGACAAAATGAAGAAAGGCTGCTTGAAATTTTTACAAATTTATTAAAGCAATTAAACTAAAATATAACATTCAGTGTAGAAGTTAAAGGTTTTGTGGTGCTACATAGTCTGTCTAATATATTATATACAATAATAATAGACACTGGTGCAAAAGCACAATAACAATCAATACAAATATAAAGGTAACAGTAATGTCTGATAATATGTGGGGTGCATACAGTGTTTTACATGAACAGGCAGACTTTTATACTTTGTGTAGACTTTACAGGTATATACCTATTTTTGTGGCACAGAATATGACATACAACAACTTAATGCATTAACAATATGACACAATGAATAAATGAAAAAAATATATATGTATCACACAGAGAGTCATATATCTTTCTGTCAGTCTCAGAGTTAGAGCTTGTGAGCTCTGCAAAAAATGTGTCATCCAGAGCATGTGTTATGCTCAGACATGTGGATTATTGATTAATGAAACATGCCAATATTAGAATAAAAGGATATTCTGACAATGACTATTATAAATTCAGTATAACAGGCATTGATTGAACTTTGGTGCTTTGGTGCTCTAAAGCAAAGAAAAACCTTTGGTGTCTACATGAAATAAGACAATAATAATAATAATAATAATAATAATAATAATAATAATAATAATAATAATAATAATAATAGGGCAGCAAAGTCTTTCTGTGTGGAGTTTGCATGTTCTCCCCGGGTACTCCGGCTTCCTCCCACCGTAACAAAGACATGCAGTTTGTGGGGATAGGTTAACTGATTATTCTAAATTGCCCATAGGTGTGATTGTGAGTGTGAATGGTTGTCTGTCCCTGTGTGTTAGCCCTGCGACAGACTGGCGACCTGTCCAGGGTGTACCCCGCCTCTCCCACTATGACCCCCCGCGAACCTGAAAAGGATAAGTGGAAGCGAATGGATGGATTGATGGAGGATAATAATAATAATAATAAAGTAAAACTCTGAATACATTTACTGAATACGTTTCACTGATTAGTAATATTTTGAGTCAGTCATAAAATTTTGCAAAATCTTCCTGAAGTAATTGTTTCAGTAATATATCCAAAATTCACTTTATACCAGTAAAATAAGCCAACATCATCCCCAGGGATATTACATGTCCACTTTAGCAGAGCTGAACTGCAGTAAAGTGTTTCATTTCAGTTTAGATTGTAATTATACTGAAAATTGTAATTCAATATATGATTTCTGATACTGTTTACTCCACTTGGCCTCTTGGTTTTTATCTCTCTTTTGTCCTCACTCATTTTGTTTAACTGTTTCATAAATTAAATGCATCAAAAAATGTAAAAACAAATATGTATATTTGGTTCCTGGGAATCAGAGAGCCCCTCTTTTTGTTACAGTGTGGTATTCAAACTTTTAAAACTGATCTGAATATTTTCTAAATTGATTTTGGTCAGACAAAGACAAACGTAAATGGCCTGCATTTGTATAGCGCTTTACTTAGTCCCTAAGGACCCCAAAGAGCTTTACACTACATTCAGTCACTCACACATAATGTGAATGTGTGCAGCATTGTAGCCACAGCTGCCCTGGGGCGCACTGACAGAGGCGAGGCTACCGGACACTGGGTCCACGGGCCCTCTGACCACCACCAGTAGGCAACGGGTGAAGTGTCTTGCCCAAGGACACAACGACCGAGACTGTCGAAGCCGGGGCTCGAACCGGCAACCTTCCGATTACAAGACGAACTCCCAACTCTTGAGCCACGATCGCCCACATCTGAGACACTTCTCTGTTTTCACAGATCATCTTCTTTTGCTGTGAGAGGGCTCATCTAGACTAACAGCGAATTCAGTACTCTTAACAAAATTACAGCAAGAAGTGTTAGCAATCCTGTGATATGAGATTTAAAAGGCTGAAATTAGTCTGACACCCTCAAAACATGAATAACAAACAGTTGACAGTTTTGGCTTGTTTTCATCTGACGTGACATTGTAGTTCGGTACATGCATTAGAAGAAGCTTTAGCTTATTGAGCAATTTCCTGACAGGTGAGAAATGATGAAAGGAAACGGTATAAGATCCTGCCACACAAGTGGTGTCCTCTTTTACGCTCATCAACTGTAACATTAAAACCACTAACGCTGAAACCAGGCCCTGGCATTTGTGTAAATATTACAGCGATACATATCAGCCAACTAAACGCTTTTGTAGCCCAAGCAAACCTCTCATGGCAAAGTCAGTCACCAATTTCATCACCCTCACCTAGAAGAACAACAGCCCTCGCATGCCACAAAAACTTCTCCTGAACAGCTCAAGGAATGCAAGATAGAGTTCAACATTTTGCCCAGCCTTCAGACTCAAGCATTCACAGGATGCACTATAACAAGCCACAAATAAACTATTCAATAACCCAGTGGCTGAGGAGAGGGACATCTGGTAGCCTCAATTCAATTCAATTCAATTCAATTCAGATTTGTTAATATAATGTCACAACACAAACTACTGTTGCCTCAGTGCTCTTTATATTTTAAGGTAAAGACCCTACAATAATACAAAGAAAACAGAGCGCACCATACGTCACATGACCCCCTATGAGCAAGTGCTTTGGTGACAGTGGGAAGGAA